TCTAGATAGTTTGGAGATTAGAGCCAACAGGATTTTTTTTGCAGTGCTAGGAATGGAACCTAAGTTCTTGCACATTTGAGGCAAGGACTTTACCCCTGAGCTCCATCATTAACCCAAGCCAAGAGTATTTCTGATCCTTTTGTGAGGTTTGGAAGAAAGAGCATTCAAGAAAGATTCTAACTTCCTGAGCAGTGTTTTTTTTTTTTTTTTTGTTGTTGTTGTTGTTTTTTGTTTTTGCCTGAACAAATGGATTGAGTCTCAGAATACTCCAAATTTCCAAATCTAGAATTTAGGGAGATGATTCAGAACCAATCAGGGAGAATGAATATAGGTGGCTTTTGAGGTTAGAGGAAAACTGTGTGCATGTGGTCCAGCAAGCTAACTTAATAAATACTTTCAAGAAGAAAATGGAATTATCTGAATCAAATTATGATAAGTAAGCTGAGGTCTGAGAATCGGCCATTGACTATAGTAACCTGGAAGTAAGCATTGACTTTGATATAGTAATTTTGATGGGAATAAATAAGGGAATATGCAGGAGGACTAAATTACTTTGTTTTTGTGTTTGGTTTGCTTTGGTATCAAACCAGTTTTTACTGTGCAACATAGATCCTTAGAAGGCCAATGTCTTCCCTGATGGCACATAATTCTTTAAAGGAAAGCATATGTCCTCCTTTTTCCAACAATGTATTTCTCATCAGACTTTGTTTGTTGTGTGATGTGACTCTACTTTTACATTTTCTGTATTTTAATGCATGTTTCTGTAAAAAAGGAGAGAAAGTAGAAACACTTGGAACTACTGATCTAAATTATTTTAAAACAGAATTCCATATATTGCATTTGAAGTCAAATACCTGTGTGGTTCTATCCCAAGAGAAAGCAGTTTCAGTGATGTTTATTTAATCAATTTTGTTAACACTTAAAATGTGGTTTTTTGGACACTTCTTTCACATTTTTGTAAGTCAGGTGTTTTAATCAGATGTTGATGTCAGAAGTTTTTCCTGAAATTCTAAGATTATTAAGATGACTTTTAATGAGAAAAAGTACATATTGTCATTTGTCTGATACTGTTTCAGTTTATGTCACAACATTTGTCTCAGCTTAATAATTCCTAGTTTGACATTTTACTGTGAAAATTTTTTTTCTTTAAAAAATAAGTTATGTGAAGAGCCTTTTTTAGTCCCGTCAGAAGTTCTGGATGGTAGGTATTCTATTATTTTACACAGAAAACATGTTGGTGGGGCTGGGGATGTGGCTCAAGCGGTAGCGTGCTCGCCTGGCATGCGTGCGGCCTGGGTTCGATCCTCAGCACCACATACCAACAAAGAAGTTGTGTCCGCCGAGAACTAAAAAATAAATATTAAAAAATTCTCTCTCTCTCTCTCTCTCTTTTTAAAGAAAAAGAAAACATTGTGGATCAGAAAGTTTGAATCACTTTGTTAAGGACAAACATCTAGTAGATAGATGTAGACAGAACTTAATTCAAGTGAGGGAAAAAAACAGTTCCCTAAAACATTTCTTTTCATTACCTTTTTTACCAATTTCTTGCTACCCTATGATTGATTATTTTTAATTGACCATCTGCAACTGTATCTGAAATGAAATATTTGCTGGACTCTTAATTGCCATTGACCCTTTGCACTATTCAAGGCATATTTGTGACCATATTCTTCTTCATTTTCTAATACTCCTCTATGAAGGGATTCCCCTGTTGATAGGTAACATAATGAGGATATCATCTGCACATAGATATTAAAAGTGCATTCCCTGCTTCTTTCCAGGGCCTTTGTCTCTATATATGCACCAGTGATGTGGTTTGCAAATAATATACATCTAATAATGCAGCCAGGTAATTGAAGTATATAGGGCCTGGTAATCAGCCTGTGGACTGTCAGTGTCCATTATGAGTAGTCAGGCATTCCTTCTGTTATTTTGGGGTCCATGCTTAGTTAATAATGCCTCAATTATTTCAATATTCCTAACTACCTTCAAACTAAAAACTCACCCTTGCTGAATTGTGTTCTGTTAGGCTCAAGTCTGTTTGATTTTCTTTTTTTTTCTCCAATGAAACATCCCTAGAAACAATAGATTATGTTTGAAAGAAACCTGAATTTGAAATGGAGGAGCATGGTACTAATATTGGACCTAAAACTTTTCAATTGTGTGTCCTTTGATCTGTGATTCAATTTTTTTTGATGCCCCATTTTTTTCTTATATAATATTAGATAACATAATGCTGGCTCATTCTTCCTCACACTTATTATGACATGCATTTAAAATCATACCTATAAAAAAACAGTAAGAAACTTCATTTTAACATGATTATTCTGAAGTTTTCAAATTTTCTATAAGTTTCTTTGTGCCTCACTTTCTTCTTTTATGAAAATGGGAGAGTAATAGTAACAGATCCATAGATTGTTATTTTATCATGGTGGTGGTTGTTATTGTTATTACTTGTATTAGAATTACTGGACTAATGTGGTCAAGAGAACAAGATATTTAAGCTCAAATATTATCCATGAGATATTCAAAGTTTGGCTGTTAACATTACTATTTGGTTATCTCATCAGATGCTTAGAATAAAGAGAATATGATTATGGCATTTAAAAAGCTGTTGTTAATTTATTGTCATTGTTTATGAAGACCAGATGGTGTTCTGAGTCTTCCCTTTATGTAATTTTATGTAAAACATAAAAAACCCAAAACACATAAACTACAAACCATTCTGAGAAGAGAAACTCTAACTTGCAATTCAAAGAATACCAGTTGACTCCATTTTTTTATTATTCGCCTTGTTTACTTATGGCATTAGTATTTTTTTCTCACTGGTTTATTTCCCAATGTAGTTAAAAGCAAAAATACCCACATCTTCTTGTTTTTAAGAGATGTAAATATTATAGATTTACTTAGAATATGCTCATTTTCTCTAATAAACTGGTTTAAAGTTCTTGGGGAATGATAATTACCTTTTAACAGGGAATATGTTAAGTGTTAAAAAATGTGCCAATTCAATGCTAAGGACAGGGAAGTTAGAACTCAAAAGTTAAGGAATTGAGGAAATAGGAATTTTATATTCTTCTTTGGGCTTTAACTGGATGTTGTTTGTGGCTGCATTATTTTCATGGAATTTTCAGTTCAACCAGCCAGTTGGAACCTACCATATTTGTCTGCATTTTTGTGGAAACAATTCAGTACTAACTTTCGAAAGTGAATTTCAAGACAATCCAGAATGTTAGCCTGTTGATTAGAATGAGATTGTGGGATCATAAAATCAAATGCCAATGCAACCTGTGTACTTTGAAAGTTTCAAGCAGAATCCAAGATACTAAAATTTGTCTATCACCTTCAAAATTTGTTGACTTGTGAGGAAAAAGTGTTTTCTTTTGCTATTATTCACAGTATAATATAAAATATGTATTTTTCAGTTGGGATGTAGTTATTAAAAATAAGGCTATCACATTATAATGTTTCATTTCATTCTTCAATTATTCTAAACTTTAATATTTTATACATCCTTTTATTTGCTTGGGAAAGAGGCTAGATGAATGCTTATTTCTATGGAAGTATTTCTGATGCTGCCATATTTTTGATATTTACATTCATAACTTTATATTTATTTAATTTCAAATGAAAGACACAAAATCTGCATTGTACAATTACAGTTAACTCTGGTCATATGTAGATATTTAAATTTAAATTAATGAAATGACATTAGATAAAATTAAGTTAAAATGTAATTTCCTCTGTCATCCTGGCTGACTTTTAAGTGTTCAATACCAACATGTAGCTATTGGCTTCCATACTGGACAAAACAAATATTGCACATTTCCTTTCTTGCATAAGTTTCTGTTCAACAATGCTGCAAGTGTGCATTTGTCTATTATACCCCCTCCCACATATACTCCAGTATTATACTGTGTAATATTTAGTTAAATGCCTGTAAGTATGAATAAGATTTTGAAAAATAGTCCTTCCTCAAACTCAAGTAAAATCAGTTTTATAACTATTATTTTATCACAGAGATTATTGTTCTTACTATATGCTAATTGCAATGTAGCTTTCTTTTCTGTTAGTGGTTAAGATTTAAAACATATGACATATGTTATAGACACATCTTTTTATGAGTGTAGTGTAGAATTCTGCATTTTGGTTTAAAAATTGAAATATTAGCTAAAGTCAATGGTATACAATACTACTTTTTAATAGATTTTTTAATATTTATTTTTTAGGTGTAGATGGACATAACACAATGCCTTTATTTTTATGTGGTGCTGAGGATTGAACCCAGGTCCCACCTGTGCTAGGCGAGAGCTCTACTGCTGAGCCACAATCCCAGCCCCAATACTACATTTTTTTAATTTAAATTTTGTAACTTTTGTTTAAAAGTTAACTGTGATTAGGAGGGATGAATTAAGGAATTTAGAAAGTTCTTTCAAACTGAACCCAATGTTCCTGGAAATTGGAGTATGTAGGCTATTTTACATAAAAATATTAGCCTAAGGTCTTGTATTTAAATCTATTTTTTATGCTAAATTATTCATACTTATAGCACTTTATACTTTTTCTATATTAGTGGATTCTTAATTTGACTTTTAATACTATTACTGAAAACAGAAATATATTTAGTATCAGTGATATATCTTTAAATGATTAATTTCATTTTAATTATCTAATATTTTGTCTTTCATTGTTATGATTTGCCCTTTTAATTCCTTCTTTTTAAGTAGTATAACATTATAATGTATCAGAAATAATTACAAAAATAAGTTTAGAAAATAGAAATCTTATTAAAAATAGCAATTCAGGATGAAAATGTCTTTTGCTTTTACTGCCATTTTGATGCTTTTGGTGACAAAAGAGTTGAGAAAAATATCTGTAGATTTCTGCGATAAGCTGACAGTGAAATATCTTATGGCTTGAAAGGGCAAATAGAAGTTATAATTACTGTGTAGATTCATAATCCTTGTATTGAAATACTCACCTTTACTATCATGCTGCAGGCCATAGATCGAGAAAAAGCCGAGAAGTTCAGAAAACTGCAAGATGCCAGCAGATCAGCTCAGACCCTGGTGGAACAGATGGTGAATGGTAATTACATGGAGTTGATTTAGATAATCTTCTTAGGGATTTGATAAACACATAGGTTCATATTTATCAGCTGAATTATATTAGACAAGCACTACTTGAATACAAATTTAAATTAAAGGGAATTTGTTTTCTCATTCTTTCTTAATGCTAAGCAAATTATTAGGGGAAATTCAACTTGTGTCCATTGGTGGAAAATGTGATGTGGTAGAATATTTTAATGCAAATATGAATAATTTAAGAAGGTTTATAGAAATAATTGGTGAGGAAGGCAATTGTATATAATACATTAAAGTGAGTATAATCTGATTGCAAGTAAGTTTTTCCAATACATTTTTCCAAAAAGACTAATATTATATGGAAGATTCTAAACTAATACCTGTTTTCTAGCTGTATTATTCTATATTAAGCTTGTGTCTTTCTGCACTTAATAAACATCTCTTGGAGGAATCTCATTTTTAACTAATTGTTTTATTTTTTATTTTTTTGTATTTTTTTAAAAAATAAATTGTTTTAATTAGTTATACATGACAATAGAATGTATTTTGACACATCATACATAAATGAAGCATAAACAACTTCTCATTCTTCTGTGTACATGAAGTAGAATTACACAGGTCGTGTAATCATATGTACACATAGGGTAAAAATGTACAACTAATTCTATTGTAGTACCCCCATACCCTCACTCCTCCCTTTACTTCCTGCTATCTAATCCACAGTATCTCTATCCATGCCCCTTATTATGAATTAGGATCTGCATGTCAGATAAAACATTGGGCCTTTGGTTCTTTGGGATTGGCTTATTTCACCTAGTATAATTTTCTCCATTTCCATCCATTTATTGGCAAATGCCATAATTTCATTCTTCTTTAAGACTAATAGTCCATTGTGTGTGTGTGTGTGTGTGTGTGTGTGTGTGTGTGTGTATATATATATATATATATAACAATATCTTTATCCATTCATCTGTTTTGAAGGGCACCTAGGTTAGTTCCATAGTTTAGTTATTTTGGATTGCGCTGCTGTAAACATTGATATAAGTTAATTTTTAGTGAGATAAAAGTACAATGTTAATATATTTCTTTTTATGAATGAAATAAAATTAATCTTTGCTAACACTAGATAGCTCAAAGTTATCTGTGTAAAACATTATTGATATGAAATATGAACAAATTTTCAAAATTTCATTGCTATAGTATTATATTTCTTTTCAGATAAAAGTAATTTTATGAAAATCATAAATGCCATTTTATTTTGTAAAGGATATACTTATAATAATATTGTAAACAAATATAACAAATGTTTTTGTTTTACATGTCAGCTTTTTATGGAATCTTCCAGATTCTGCAACATAAATTCTGTATATTAATTATTTTTTACATTAATTACTACGTTGGCACTATAAAAATTCAATGAGTCAGTGATCTTAATAGGAAATCAATTCATTTTTTTCTTCTAATGAGCCACATGACTATTTGCCTAAAATAAGAACAAGTTAATATGACAGCTTAGAATTGGGTTAATAAGTTAATTAATATATAGATAATGAAAAGAATTAATAGGTTATTGTTTAGATACATGTGATTTGATGATTATAGTTGATGGTTTAACAGCATATTCATGTTAAATTATATGATCTAAAATATTATTTTAATTGTTATATAATCCCCCCTAAAAACTATATTATTACTTTTTCATTTGAATAAGATAATGTAATGTCTCTATTTTCTTTTCTCATTGTGTTTTTAATGATGGGAACAATAAAAATAATTTAAAAACATCTAAAACCAATATGGTACTAGGAATTGAAATCAAGGCTTATTGCATGCTACGCAAGTACTTTGCCACTGAGCCACAAGTCCACAGTCTTTATTTTTTAAATGGTCTAATTTTTAAAATTATTGATAGATCTCCATTTTATTTATTTATTTATATGTGATGCTGAGAAATGAACTCAGTGCCTCACACATGCTAGGCAAGTGCTCTACCATGGAACCACAACCCCCAAATGGTCTAATTTTAACAATTAAATATCAAGCATAACTCACCTCAGATTATCTGATATTAGCAGACACTGAATTATTTTTAAAAGTATTTAAACACTTAGAAATAAAAGAAATGATTTATATTTTTTGGTATGTGAAACTATTTATAAGTGTTGAAATGATCATTGACTAGTGAGAATATCAGTTTTCCAAACTGTTGTCATATCTCTAATTTTTGGAAGCATAAAGAATAAAACAGGACATTTAGTAAGTCCTTAGTAAATATTAACTGATTAAATTCTGTTTCACAAAACAAAATTAAGATGATAATTAAGATAAAAACATTGGTAATATTTTTAGAAAACAACCATGCAGTATCAAATGCCTATAATCCCAGTGGCTTGGGAAGCTGAGGCACGCAGATATCAACTTTAAAGCCAGCCTCAGGAAAAGCGAGGCACTAAGCAACTTAGTAAGACCCTTTCTCCAAATAAAATACAAAATAGAGCTGGAGGTGTGACTGAGTGGTCAAGTGCTCCTGAATTCATTCTCTGGTAATAATAATAATAATAATAATAATAATAATAATGAGGAGAAGGAGGAGGAGGAGGAGTCGTCTTCAAGCTACCTATATGTTATATTAGTGAAGGTATGATTAATTGATACATGCTTAGGCTGGAGTTTGGTCCATAAACAGGATAATTATTTAAAATGACCATATCTCTGCTCTCCCATTAAATAAAAATAATTTACATAATTACTATCAAAATATTCTGAATTCTGCTTTCATCCTTTTTATCTTTCAAAAACATATTATATAGTATTTATTTTCTATGATTGTACAAATAGTGAAATAAGTCAGAAACAAAATTAGTGCCTTGAGTACCTGTCTAGGTTTATTTAAGAGAAACTCCTAACCCTAGTTTTGAATACTTCAACCAGAGAGCCAAGAACTAAAGTTCACTGGTGTAGTTCATGAAGCTGAAATGTAAATTAAGCTTTTTGTATAACAGGATTCCCAACAATTACCTCACTAAATCACTTAAACATACAAGTCCAGAATCATCTTTCTTACATTTGTTCTGTTGGGTTTTAATTACCATACTTCATTTAGCATCTCATGCAATTAGATATTCCTTTAAACCATATATACTTTCCACAAAAATTAAGATAAAGGCAAATCATTTTTACACAATGTTATAATATTTTTTTATTTTATTTTATTTTTTTTTTTTTAGAAACTTGCAGCTGACCCTTTAGGTTGGGGGATCAGGTACCACTCAGCTGCAAGTTTGTTTGTTTTTTTTTTTTTTTTTAAGAGAGAGAGAGAGAGAGGATTTCAATGTTTATTTTTCAGCCTTTGGCAGACACCACATCTTTGTTGTATGTGGTGCTGAGGATTGAACCCGAGCCACACGCATGCCAGGCGAGCGTGCTACTGCTTGAGCCACATCCCCAGCCCACAATGTTATAATATTATACCATCAACATAAATATATATCTATAATATATATGCATCTATATGTCTATATGCATGAATTCTATTTTGTCATGATAAAACACTTAATATTCATAGTGTAAACATGTGTATGAAGACCAAGTATAGCTATTATAGTTTATGAAAGGAAAACATTTTATGAAATATATATGTTCACATTTATAGCAAATTTAATTTTCTACTTAAAATCATTTTCTAAAAGATTAAATTATTTCTTAAAAATTTACAGTGATTTTGGAACTCTTCTTGTCTACAAAATGGAACTCCAAGACATGACAAAAAATTGCCACAATTTACATTTTTACCTCAGGTTTGAACTGAAATAGTCCATTAGATTTATTTACAAAAAACATCTCTCCATTTCCAAATACTTGTGAAACACCAATGTTTTAACACACTTAAAAAATGCAGAAAATTAAATCCATGGTGCTGACAGCACTTTACTGAAGAATTTAAGAAATGTGCTGAGAAAGAGGAAGTGAAAAAATTGCAAAAATATACCAATGTAGAGAAATTTGGTATGATTTAAAAGTGATTCATCTCTTTATTAAATCTGTTTTTTGAACTAACATTAAAATTTATTCTTTCTATGCCAAAATCAATTGGTTAGATAATGATGGAGAGCAGCTTGAAAGGGTATTGGAATAGATTTTGCATACATATAATGTTTGTGAATTTTATCATTAATATATTAAATTAGGATCGTACATTTAGCTTCAAGACATTGGTAATGTCCTAGAGCTTTAGTGAAGGTAGGTAGGAGACTAGTTTTGGTGTATAGTGAACTATTTATATGTTCCTCTCACTGTTACACTGAGAGGGGAGTTTCTAAATTCTTTATTTGCTTTCTTTTTTAAAAGGAAACAAGACAACCTTCTTTAAAATTTAATTTCATACTTTTATTTAAATGCATAATGGTATAAAATAATTTAAAATTTAGAACATTTTCCCATTTAATACAGCAAATAATCTTGCCAATTCTTCAGTAACATGTAACACAGATGACTCAGTACTGTGGACCTAAGGCATTATTTTGAGTTGTTTTAAACTGTTTACTTCAAGGCAAACTTTTTCAGTATGTTATGGAGATTGTGGAATTTTAAGACAATCCAAATCTCATCATGCACATTTTTATACCTAAACACATGTACTTTGTTTATATCTAGTTAGAAGGATATTTCATTCTTAATTTTTGTATCAATTACTGTTCTTGTATGAATACATACAACCTCTTTATCAGTCAGGTATAACATAAAGAAAATCCAGCTTACATAATTTTCCTTTATTAATGTTGAAATTACCAGTTATATCAAAATATTAATTTGATATATATCCATAGCTCAAGTTTCCAATCCTTAAGCTAAAAAAATGGTTTCATCACAATTTCCAGAGGAGATATTACAATATCATTATATAATAGGGTAAATGGTGTTTTCTGCATTAAATTGTGCTTCATTTTCAACTTCTAAGTGTGATTTTCAGTGTATTAGTTAAGCGCCTGAAGGCAATCACATTAA